AGATTGGGCAAGAAATCTCCACATATACTTTTGTCTTAAGAGAATATTTTATATTTTGGACTTACCATGGGAGGGATCAGGGTGACAAGGGTTCAAGAATCCACTTGATTATATAGTTGATTTTGAACTATTCAACATCTTTCTGTGTAACACTTCTTGAAGGACTCAAAGGTGTGGTGAGAATAAAATGAGAAAATGCCCTCAAGTGTGCTGCACTGAACTTCCATGATACAAGTGTGCTAATTAAGAAGCAATGTAAACATAATAATTATCCATTAAATGTGTATGTTACTGAATCTGTTCAGCTCACTATGGCTTACAACAAGAACAAAAATCTAATATTTATTTTTCAATTAGAATTTCATTATCATGTTATATAATTTATTAAAATGTAAAATATTTTATTACTGTTGCTGTAATTTATTTTTCATTCAATTATTTTAACTGAATAAAAATGATGGTAGAAGTGCAATCAGTAGCCATGCAGATCATTGTCCTGGTGCCTTTATCATATTTGTGGAGGAGTTTGATGTTATTTAACATTCCATTTATAGGCACTGGGATGAATTCTCACAAATGTAAACAAAATGCAGGCATTCATACTGGACACAAAGTGGATGTTATTGAAGAAACTTGACAATCAAGGCCAATTCCTTCAATATAAAACTAAACCAAAAGTCAAACCAATTTAAAAGCCTCATTGTTACCAGGAAAAGATTGTCATTAGAAGATCTGTCCACTAAGTGGCAATCTTAGCCTGCCAAAGTTAAAAACAACAAAAAAAAAAAACAACACAAAAATATTCTCCATCCACCCACCCACCCCAGCGCATTGCAGATACCTGATCTTAGAACAAAAATGTAGGTGGCATCTCGGACATTCAGTATCACAGACAACGATTAAAGGCTGCACCTATGATATGCTATAGTTTAAAATGAAACATCAGCAGGAATAGGAAAAAAAAATTAACACTGTCAATAAGAATAAGAGATGAAAAAACAAGGCAAGGAAATCCTGCTGAGCCTGACTGCAGGAATAATTTCCAACCCTTTGGAAATGGCTATAGGGATGTGCCTGTATTTTCTTCTGTGTAACAAAATAACATGGGGGGGGGGAGGTATGTGTGCGCACGTGGACATTTTCTCCCAGGGACTAATCAGTGTGCGTGCATACTGTTGTATGTGTTTGTCTGAAACAGTATAATCAAGGTGAATTCCTAGGTGCTTTGTGTACACGTGTGGATATGTGTTTGTGTATCTGCCCTCCCCTCATATTGCATTGTCTTTGTGTATATGTGTCCTTAAAGCACAGGATCAGCTATCTGGGAATGAAGGCAAGGAGGTGCTCAGAATGGAACAGTCAGCAATATTCTGAGCCACTTCTTCACTGCCAATCTCTGGAGTAATTGTTCAGGGCGTATCTATTTTGTACCTGTGTTGGGTGGAGTTCTGAATCCATTTCTGGCAATATGTCTGGCAAGAATAAAGATCCAGATCTGTTCATACTGCACGGCAAAAACACTCTGGTGTTTGGCTTTTCTTTCTTCTTCTTAGCAGACTATGAACAAGATTTTGTTGTCCAAACTAGCCCTGAACTTTACTAATAAAATGTTTTTATGCATACGTAAATCATATACCCAAATCATTAAACTAAATAATTACTAGATATAGGTTGGATTCATACAACACACTGAATCATACTGTGGTTTGTTTCCTGACTTAATGTGATATGTAACAAACCACAGTTCATAAGCCATGGTTTAAGGGAGTATGCTGCAGCTTGAAACCAAGGCTTGTTGTTATTGGTTTATTATTATTACCAGCTTAATAGAACTGGTAACAAGGCAGGAACAGCTAAAAACATAGCAAGATAAATTAATTCCCAAGTACTTTACTAAAATATATCACTGTTCACAGTAATATATGGATACAGTAGAAATAGGAAGTCCTAGAACCACATGTAGTCCCAAAGCTTTGGGGGGGCATGGGACCCCCCTCCCCTTCAACTGTGAAAATGGGAGCAGTTTCCTGCCCTTCTTAGGTAGATACGCATGGAAACTGTAGCATAAATACTATCATAGGTTTAATAATCCCCCCCCCAAAAAACAGAAATCATTGCTGTTCCCACATAGAGTCCCACCCATTCTCATTCTTCCCAAAACTTATCCTGTGCTAAATCATAATCAGTACTGTTTATAAACACCAATGTTGGAATTAAAGCCAAAATCAAACCAACCACTAGAATTTAGCAGGACAGGACATTAAACCCAGCAACAAAATGTAAATGATAAGGACACTCTGGAGCAGTAATGGCCCTCACTATATTCTAGAAGTCTTGAGTTTTTGACTTAAAGGAATGGCATTCCAGAATAAAGACAATATTTTTTGTACATGAAAGGGGATGACAACATTATTATGATGGCTACTTGAATTCTGTACTGTAAATAAATTAATCCCTTTGGTATGGCTACAGTGATTCCAGAATAGAATAGGAAGATTTTAATAAAGTAATTCAGCTACATGGGTGGGATCTGAGGGCCAGCTACGATGCATTAATTGTGCAATTTCATTTCATGTGTTTATTTTGATTCCTTTAAATATACAGCCCTGTGAAAGGAGAACAAACAAAAGGACTATAAATGACAAAGAGGGGTTGAACTGCTATCCTGATAAAATGTCTTCTAAATTATTTCCCCCAGTAATGGGTTTATTGGGGAGGGGGGGAGAGGACTATTTGTTGGGGCAAATACAGGGAGAAGATAAACCTTCTCCCTATAAACCACTTCTGCAGTAGTTACTAACATACAAAAAGAAAGTGGATATTTTACACCTAAATATCAAAAACACCTAAGAAGGGCCATGTTGGTTCAGGCCAAATGCATATTTGCTCTAGTAAGAAATGGCCAAGATTCAGATGACTCAGGTAAATCCACATAGAGAAGACATGAATGTAATAGTGTCCTTCTGCCTGATTTCCCCAGTAACATATTAACAATGCCTTATGGGCAAAATATGGGATGTAAATAATAAAAATAAATAAGAGGCATATTTCTTCTGATACTAGAGAAAATACACGGTCATCATTTCTAGTAGTCGCTGATTAATTCATGAAATACAAACCTATCTTAAACCTTATTTAAAGCCACCCAAGTGGCTTTATATTTTAGGGTAAGTTGTGAAGACCCATCTTCTTTTATTTGTTCTGGAGCTTCCACCACTCATCTTTAATCAGTGACTCAGATTCTAGTATTATATAAGAGAGATTCACTTTCCCCACATTTTCTGCATCATGCACGAATTTAAATATTTCCATAAAAATGTATTTGCTGCAGTGCAGACTGTTGCAAAAACAAGAGAACATGCATAAATACATCATTCTACAAATAAGAAAAAAACTGAGTACATCAAGACATACACACTTCACATGACTTTATGTTTTAATGATAGTTCCATATATAGTGACCATTATTTTAGCAACATATTTGCATTAGTATTTTATTGTGCTTTATTGTATCCTGGCAATTTTGCAAGTGGATGGTTAAAAATGCTGGAAATAAATCAATAAATACAAACCTATCTTAAACCTTATTTAAAGGTTAAATAAAATATATAATCCAATGATTCAAAAAAATCTATCAGTCCCGCTTAAAATCTCAAATTCTGAATGTTCTTTTCCTGGCTTACAATATCATAACAATAATATGACCCCTTAATTAGGTACACTTTGTAGGATTTAGAACCTCTACCAGATGCTTCAGTAATAATAGTAGGATAAGCCACTTCCTTAAATTCACAGAACAGTAGGGTGTGAATTATTGTCTCCACTTCTCTCTATCCAAATGGACAGGCACACAAGTCCTCGCCTCTTCTTCTGGATTATCCTTCCAAAAGCGCACATGGAATATGTCACAGTGGGCCAGTTTAAAAATTTTCCTACGTTTAAAGACTATAAAGGAATCCAAATCACTCTCCACCCCCAACTCACTTGATTCTTGACTAAGCAGAAAAGTTACCATACTTCTTTAAGGGAAAATGGTTTGATCTCTAGGTCATCTGCCTTGCACTTATTTACAATATCCTTTTAATGTACTGTAACAATACAAGTATTCCAAGTTGGATCACACCATTGATTTATATAGAGGGATTATGAATAAATATAAATCTGTTCGTTGCTTTTTTTTTTTTTCCCCTAGACATAAACAGACATTTATTGGGTGATGAGCATTACAACTCTAAGATTATCTTCCTGATTGGTGATAACACAGTATCTAAGATGCCTTGCTTCAACATTCATGATTTAATGTCTACACAGACCTGCACTTTAGTGCCTGTTTCCTATGCAGGAATTCTATCAAATCTGTGATAGAATTCTATCAATTCTATCAAAGCATCATTTACATAAATGAGATCTGAAACCTCATGATTACACTGGTTAGGAAGAGAGAACAGGATATTGACAGGCACCTGAAAGATTAATTACAGGACTGGGAAAGTACCAATGCTTCCCATTTTTCTGCTTCATTTTATATTTTTAACCTCACTTATAACCAATGCTAGAAACGAACATGTTTTATATTAGCTATGGAAGTTTTGACTGTCTCAGCAGTATTAGTAACATAAGCAGTTTCCTAATTTAAGAACACTGAAGTTACACATTTTGTTAAAATATACTCTTTCAATAGTTTAATTAGCTATTGATCCTAAATAAGCAGTTTTGGCATTATATGCTTTAGGAGGTATGTACCTGAAGTGCTAATAAGTTAATGAAATTTGAAGAGATCAGGGATTTCTCAATTAGTTCAGAGCTAAAGACATATTCAGTAATATGTATATATAAAGATACCGTTAACTACACAGAGAACCACAAAGGAACAGGACCTAAAAGTCTTGAATTGGGGGTGTACATTTATATATAAATAAGACAGACTAGATTCAGAAAACATAGCTAAAAACAATATGCAGTTTACACTGATATACTTGATACAATGACTATTTTCTTACCTGATAATGTATTTCTTTTGAATCAAGTTCACCAATCTGTAAAAACAGAAGTGTATAATCAATTACACCACATAAGGAATGGTTATGTGTATGGTGATAAACCATGCTCAAACATTTTCTTTGTCTTCATGCATTGTACAGATTCTTTTTGGGGTATTAAAAAACTTGCTTGCTATCAATATATATTTATTTCAACATTCATAATTTTTATAACATTGTAATGAATGGACGGATAAGAGGGAAAGAAGCATCTTATTTACTGCCAGACACAAAAAATTACATGGATGTGTGTCTATATTTAGAAGAAATATTCCCAGAAAAACTGAGATTAGGTTTGCTCATGGTAGCAAGTCATTTAATTAAGATATTGAATAACCCACAACTGGTTGGATACAAACAACACACTAAATCAAACAACTTGCTTACAAACAGAAGTCAGTAGAGTTCACCCAGTGCACTAAGCCCAAACAAACCAAACCACATTATGGCTAAGTGCGAGGAATGAGCCAGATCAGAGCATGTCACTAACATTCCATTGCCACAGCAAAGAGTTAAAAGAGACGATCGAGACAGAACACCACATGACTGTTAAGAAATAAGCCCACTGAGTTTAATAGGATGGATTCTAACACTAATGAATTCAAACCTCTGGCACTCCTGAAATCTGAGTGACTTAAAAAATGGTTTTAATTTTTTTTTAATTTTAATAATATTTAAATGCTAATGTTTGAAACGCTAACGTTGTTTCACTTGTGATTTTACCATTAGAAGCTGCCATCAGCACTGTGAGCTGGAAGGGCAGAGTGTAAATCTGAAATCAGATTATCTTTACCTATCTCACAGAACTCAAGAGAAACAATCCAAGCCTCTTTCATGGGGCAGAGCCCCAATCTGAAAGTCAAGCTTGAAACAATCTGATATCATGGTTTATGCTTCTTCCCACTTTCATTTCACAACTTTATTCTCAGCACAAAACAGACTACTAGAACTCTAGAGATACTGTAAAACCACCAACTGTGATACTCTTTTTTCCCATTTATTCCTAATACTTATAACATTTAATTAAAAGACATAAAATCAAAGGCACATGCTCTGTTTCAATCTTAATAAACAAGATGCAATCCAAACCTTTTGCAGGACACCCAGCCATTAAAACAACAACAAAACTACAAACAGGCACGTGGTGTGTGCTTCTACAATCTCAGAATTCTTCATCTTCAAGTCAATAAGAGTCATGAGTTTTTTCCACCAACATCACTATCACTTCCCAGAATTTAAATAGTTCCAAAAGAGGAAGGGCAAATTTCTATTTTGCTAGTACCCTAATTATATCCTGTCTGTCAGCATTTACTATAGAGGAAGTATACACATTCAGTAAAACTGGTTAGAGAATAGGGGAAATCTGGAAGTACATCAATGAGGAAATTGATGTAGGAAAAAAACTCCATGTTTTCAAATCATTATATGCATTTTGAAAATCAGGACAATTTCCAATAGGCAACTAATAACATTTAAATTTAAACTTATAAATGAAAAACCTGCTATATCCTAGCACCACAGTAAATCCGTCTACCCTGAATCAAAGTTTCTACAGACACATTATAACAAAGAAAGTTTCTCTATACTTATTAAAGGTGTGGTGTAAATGAAACAAATAAATAAACTTTATAATGCCTCCAGACTGATAATGCTGGGTAGTAGTATGTTTGGTTTCCTATATCCATTTTAAAATAAGACCATCTGTCATAAACATTTAATGTTTGGATACACTCATTACAGCAGCCATTTTGTGAGAGTGCTCATACGTTCTCAATAACGTCTCTTTAGATCAAAATAGTAATATAATTAACTATACCATTCTTTTTTTTTTTCAGGAAAAGCGATTTAAGAAAAGAAGTACCCCCCCCAAAGAATATATTCAACTTTGCAATCTTACCTGTTTAGAGATTCTCCAAATTCTCCTAGAGATCTAAGAAGAAAATGAAACCTGCAAATTTAAATTCAGAACGTTAATTTATCATAATTCATTAATTTAAGGAAATCCGCTATTAAAAAAAGGTAGAATAAGTAATCCATTTTATGTACACATGCTGAAAAATACTATCAAGTATTATTTGGCATTTGGAAGTTTTTCATCAAAGTATAGGCTGATTAACACACTGGGAATATCCCTTCCATACAAATTATCTCATTTAGTGTTCTGCAGTTTGGCATTACATTTAAAATATTCCTCCTGTGTCATTCTTAAACATTCTACTTCCTTCTCTCTTTTCCCCTATTAAATGCATACTTAGAAAATATTTTTGAAATACAGAACTAGGATTTACATGGGTTATTTCCAGTCAAGGGCCCAGCTTCTGAACTCAAACATGTTCCAATAACTTGGTCATCTCTTGCTCATCATCAGTGATTCAACTACAGTACTGCTGTCTGTTCTCAGAATCATACAGACAAGGTGGAACAGCCACATTCCTTTGCTGTCTTGCTGGGTTAAGCTTAACCATCATCAAGAAAAACAAGTGTCCTCCACACCATTATAAGAACAACAAGAGCACTTTCCTTAAACAGGTGATAAAACTGATATCCAATCTTTAAAAGACCCCAGCAGAGATAAATTAGCACCATATTCTCTGCCTCCTCCTCCTCCTCCTCATTCCACCCAACTCCCAATGGCTCTGGGTGATTCACAAGTAAACAACATTAAAAGGAATAAAACCATACAATAATAAACAAGAACAAAGAATACAAGATGACAAATCGGATAGGAGCAAAACCAAACCCACACAACTTAAAGGAGCTTTCAATTACCCTTGCTGAAGGCCTAGGCAAAGAGCTAAGTCTTCAAGGCTGTTCAAAACACCAGCAGGACGGGGACCATCTGGATCTCATTCCAGAGAGCAGGCACTGTGACAGAGAAGGACTGCTTCCAGGGCCCTGACAAATGACATTGTTTAAATGAAGGAACCTGGAGTGAGACAACCCATTAGACTGAATTGGCTGGGCAGATACTACGGGGGATAAACCTATGCTATGTAGGGCTTTATAGGTAACAACCAGTACCTTGAATTGCACCCAAAACAAACTGTCAACCAGTGCAGCTCATCAAGCAGGGGTTTCACATGGGCATAACAAGGTATGCCCATCACTACCCATCCTGCCACATTTTGTGGTCTTCAAGGGCAGCCCATATACAGCATGTTGCAGCAGTCAAACTATGATTTATTTATCTAGGAAGAATAATTTTGCCCCTTACCCAATAAGTATTTTTAAAATGCAAAGTTATCTTATATTCACTGAGAATATGACAGCTGAAACAGGCAAGTTTTATTTTTCTAATCTTCCTACAGGGATGGAGAAATGTCTCAGATTTGGGGTGAAGCTCCAATTAGGTCAATACATTATTATTGTGGGTTTCCCTCTTAAACCAAGAACATTTCAGTCATTTAAATGTCATAGCAATGTCCTTGTCCTTCTAGGTGACCCTGAGTTTTCATTTTATGCAATTTAATTTCTGACAGCATGAAAAGTGTTTGGTTCTCAGTTGTTCATAATAGTGACTATCAATTAGATAAAAGATATGCTGAGTCTCCAGCTTGTGGAGAAATAACATTTTGCTTGGTGTTCCTGGAACTATCTGTATCTGTACTGGTCAACTCCATGACCCTTCTTTGAGCTTTGAACAAATGTGGAGCTACTTCTCAACTGCCATCCATTAGATATCTACAAGGAGATATAATCTTGATATAATAACCTCTATGCACCAAATGTTCTATATTATGTAATTTGCCAGAACCACTACATCTGCTTATCCCAGTTAATATCTATAGTCACTACAATTTCTGATAAAATGGGCTAAAACTTTGGCTACATGCAGATCGAACAATGGGAAAATATGTGGCAGAAAGGACTGAAATTCACATTGTGTTATAACCATAGAGAGAACTTTTATAAAATGATATATTGTTGGGTTTTGTCACCAGAAAAATTATCTAAAATGTACAAAAGTTCTTCAAATGTATGTTGGCAATGTGAACATCAAAAAGGGACATTTTATCATCTCTGGTGGACTTGTAAAAAGCAAAAAAAAAAAAAAAATTGGAATCAGATACATATTTTAATATAGAAGATTTAAAAGATTAACATTCTATCAAAACCAGAGACCCTCCTTTTGGGCTTGATGGATAAACAGCTGGAAAAAAAACTTATGGAACTTTGTTTTTATATATGATAACAGCAGCAAGACTTTTATATGCACAGGGGTGGAAAGATACGATACTACCTACAATGGAAGAAAGGATGGTGAAGCTGATAGAGTTGGCTGAAATGGGGAAATTGATGGCTTTGATTCGAGACAAGACGTTGTGTAATTTTAATGCTAACTGGAAACTTTTGGACTTTTTTCAGGAAACAGAAAAAAATGAAATTATGTTGTATTGATTTGATTATTAGAAATAATATGGGTTAACAGAAATAATGGAAATTATGTTGTAAATTTAGAGCAAGAGTTTGATGTACATTGTTACTTGTATCTGTTGCAAGGAGGATTGGAAGTTAGTTCTTTTTTTCTTTTGCCTTTCTCATCTTTTCTTTTTTTCTGCACTCTTGATCTTTATTATCCTCTTTTTTTCTAATTTCTTTTTTTCTTCTCATTCTTTTTCTTCATATTAGTTGTTAGGTTTTACTTTTTTAAAAAATTAATAAAATTATTTTATATATATGTGTGTGTGTGTGTATTCACTACCATTCCTAACCCTTATACCATTCTTCAACTGTAGTTCTTTTTATTAAATGCTCATTTTCAACCAACAAAAGCCTTCAAAAAAGTCCCCCCCCCCCAGCCAAATATAAACTATTGGTATTGTTGTCCAAAGAATTACTTGAACTACTTTTAAAAACCTTTTTCTTCAAACAGTAATTCCTTGTGTTATATTACACACTGCTTTGCAAATTCCTAGTTGTTTCAGAAGCAGTTGGCAGTGTATGGTCAGTCATAAGGGAAGGAAGACACAAATGTGTAATTTGTTCAGGTACTTCAAAATTCAAGATGCATAGTTTTAAGTTCTTGGTCTACAAGAATGGTAAACTGTAACAGTGTAACACTTAAGTGACAGTGAACAAATCCATTTAACCGTATTTTCTAAATGGCCAATTCAAAACCTGTAGCACAGCAGTCAACTATGTGTTCTGAGAAAAAAGCTTAGTGTACATGCCAAGTTTGAGCAATCACACTGTACACTCAATTTAACTGAGGGCAATACACAACTGCTGCTTTGGAAGTTTCCTGCTGTGGAAGAAATAATGAAGGCCATATGATTAGACTTCCAGCATGCATTAAAAATGAAATCATTA